AGAATTATCATTCCAGTAGACTGTTGAGAAATCCAAATTTATTTAACCCCACAAATCTGGGTAGGGGAAAAGTTTGGGCCAGGTGGATATTAACTAGAGCAGTAGCTCAGACTTTCAGTACCACATTCTGTATTGGATCAGAACAGAAAGTGATACAACGGTAGGTCTAGGCAAACAGTATGGAAGCTAGGGAAAAGAATAAACAACAGCCCTAAATCCTATACAGCACAATCTAGATTTTAGCTTCCAATACATATACGCTAACTAAAACATAATGCAAGGTAATACATTCATTTTCTAAGACTTACCTCTTGCACCAATCCCCGTGCCTTCATTAGATTTCCAAGATTACTATGGGCATCAACCTATATACCAATTTCCCACTGTAGTTAGCTTGCAGATAACATTGAAAGTAAAATCGCGTGGAACATTGGATCGGACAAAACAACAAGAAGAACATCCTGTTGTAAGTCAAAAACAAACACGATAGAAGCCTACCAAATGGGGATTTAATGCAAGTGCCTGGCGACAACACTGTGCTGCTTCTTCATGTCTTCCTTTCCGCATGTATGCACTAGCTAAGTTTGACCATGCATCACAGAAGTTGGGACGAAGCTGCAGCCAAGAAAAACTAAGATCAACAAACTACACGAGTATGAGAAGACAAGGACACCTAAACCATTCAAACTGAAGCAGAACAACTTGAACTTTATAAACAAAGGACATCCAAAATGTTTAAGAACCAAACCAGGGTAATTTGACCCTATAAATTACAACTAAAAGAAAACTCAACATCCATTTTAATCCCTTTCTAAGGTTTGAGGAAATGCAAGTATAGTCAGAAAACAGTACAAAATAGTATACAAACCTCAATGGCAACCAAATAATAGCGAATAGCAAGGTCATTATTTCCTTTTTCCTGCATAAAGAACAAACCAACTCAACATTATGGACAATTATTCAACAAGAAAAAATGGGTGAAAGTAGGCAACTATGCATTCATGACATTACCTTCCAAGCATTAGCCATGTTCCCATAACACTCGGCGAAATGGGGCTCAATTCGAAGGGCTTCTTCATTTTTGGCAATACACATATCAAAGTCATGCAACTGGAACGGAATAAAGCACACATAAAATTAATTAATTTCAGGTTCCCAACACCAATAGAAGGGAGATTAGTTTGGTGAATTAAAATTGAACCTGATAATAGATTGCACCCAAAAGCAGGAGATTGTCGGTGCGAATCGGGTTTTTCTCATACACGATTTTGCTATGCTCTAGTGCCTCCTTATAGTTTCCAGCCTTGTACATTTGATGAGCAACAGTCAAATGTGCGTCTTCATCAACTACATAATCGAATAATTCATCAATTAGCCTCAACTATCAGAAATTCAAATAATTTACCAAACGAGCACCTCCGACGCCACCCAACCTGGAATAATTGATGAAAACCCTAACCCTAAAATTCGAAATTTAGCTTTTCCGTCAAAGTCTTATCTAAAAATTAATCACCTACACAGCAACATCGATTAAAACACCCCCAAAATTGCAACCGAAGTTTCAAACTTTGATTAAAAAAACAATTTAGAAGTTCATATTCCGATTAAAAAAATGAGATTAGACAAAATTGGGATCAGAAAATTGAACCTTCACGAGCCTCGTGATGAGGCTTGAAAGAGACCAAGCTGAGCGACGACGGCTCCGGCTTGATCCCAAAGGTGTCATCGCGAGCGACGCCGAAGTGAGCCCTAGAAGCTCCGACCACCGCCGGCGGCTGACGAGCCTCTCCCTTAACCGTGATCATCGTGGCGAACCTCCTCCTCACCCTCCCCCGATCACTACCATCCAACTGCGATCCGACTGCCCACAACTCTCTCTCGAGCTGTCCGGCTCTTCCCCTTGGCTTCTGAATTTTTTTTTTTTTTTTTTTTTTTTTTTGGAGTTCTGAAGTTTGCGTTTGTACTATTGGAAGAAGCGGCTTTTGTTGGAAGCGCTTTTTGTTTTTCGGTGCTTTTTTGGTGCGGAGAACAGAGGACAACACGACAGAGAGGAGTTTAAATAAATGGTGGAGAAGTGGGGCCGAGGGCGCGAGCGATCTGGGCCGTCGGATGCGGGGAAGTGACTGATATTTGGGATTGGAATTTGGATGTCGTGTCGGTTTTCTTAAGATTCAATTAACTTATTCGGAGTTTGTCACCCAAAAAAGGAAGAAAAACTTAAAACGTGTTTTGGGCACGTAATCTTAGGCTGACTAATGAATGCAAAAGCGCGTACGTTTAATTACTTCGGGATTAAATGATTCACCTGAAACGAAAGATTTTTTAGTACATTCGGCAATAAATCACGAGTCATTAAATAAATAGCGGATGCTAAAATATGTGTTATTTCTATCTTCAGACTATATGTATTCGAAGGTTTGTGTTTGAACTCTCTCAAATAATATCTTTTGTATAAAAACATATCGACATCGTTTGGTAAGCTAATGTAGTTGAATAAGGTTAACTATTGTAAATGGAAGAGACACAACGTCCATTCAAGTAGAGTAAAATGAATAAATGTATATTTATAGTTAAAAATATAACGAGTGTTTATTCAAGTATTCATCAAGTCTTTTACAATTTATTGAAAAAAAAAAAGTTATCTATTTTTTGTCTAAACGAGAGTTGCAACTTAAAAGGGTTTAAACGATATTTCTTAATTTTCAAACGTCCAATGATTAATTAAGGTCGTAAACAATCGTCTAGCGCCTAGGCAGATATTATGTAGAGTAGTGACCTAAAGTAACCTCATTTCTTAATTTTCAAACTTTTAAAAATTTAAATCATATTATTACTCGCTCGTTATGAGATTAAGCCCCAGTTTGGGGTTGAGGTGATTTTAAAAAAAGCTCCTATGAAAAAAAGCTGGGAGTGTTTTTGGTGTTTGGTAAATTAAAAAAAAAGGGCTTATTTTGGAAGCTGCTGTGAGAATAAGCTGAAATCAAAGGAAAAAGCTGAAGCTGCCATTTGTAGCTTTGGAAAACTGGCTTTTTTTCAAAGCACATAGAACTACAATGCTCCTTTAATGAAAAGACTCACTATCAGACTGCTTTTTTTTTCAAAAGCACTTTTACAAAAAAGTTTACCAAACACTCTGCTGATTTATTTCACAGCCGCTTATTCTCACAGCACAGCCGCTTATTCTCACAGCAGCTTTTTTTCAAAGCACAGCAATACCAAACCAGCCCAAACTCACTCTCTATCCCTTAGTATAAATAATATCGTTTGTTTAAAAAAATAATATTATTTGTTTAAAAAAAATACAATAATAATTGGAACAATGATCAACCGTACCTAAACGGATAATTTCAGAGCATGGACCTGAAGTAACCCACATCCGACTTCTTACATTTTTTACTTGCGAATCACATGGAAAATTTTTATAACACACGGGAAAATGGCTTCTTATCAACCTTTTTTCTCATAAAAAAGAGAGAGAAATAAAAAGTTGCTGACAAGCCTCCATTGGGCTTTCTTAACATTAGTCATTGGGTCATTTGAATCTGATTCAGCCGGAGTCTATTGGACCAATAACAAGCAAAGTATAGTCGGGTCAGGCCCAACATCGATCAAGTTAGGAACCGAAGGGAGGGAACTCATAGTAAACTGCAATCCAATGACTCGTTACCCCACCCCTACACTACAATCGTAGCATTTTGTACCAATGTTACAATGTTATACATCGATTTTTCTCCCCATTATATTGTATAAGGGCCACATAACGTCTAGATGACAATGTACCTATTTGGTAGGGCGCTCTAGTTGCACTTAATTCTACTGTTAAGATGTGTGCATGGGCGCGCTTTGGTTACTCTTGTTGCCAATGATTGTCCTGTTTCTTTTTAGTAAATGCATCCACTCATCATTTGCAAACCAAAAGGATTTTCATTGTTCGAATTTCATAATATGGATTGTTTAATTTCTTAATCATTTCAGTATCATTTTTATAAAAAATAGTTTGAATCGGAGATATTCTTCCAAATGTATATCAAATAAATGCATGAGTATGTTTTTTGGCATATACACCCTCAATTTTTTTATACATGTGGATAACTAAACGATATTCGATAATTTCTTGTATAAATGATTTTCAAATGAAAATTATATGAAATTTGTGAAAATCATACTTTATTTGCACGGGGTGATTATGTGCATCCACTTGATCGGTAGTTACAAGTATTATTAATTTATTCATACACATATATACATATAAACTCTAATTTTATATCATTTTCTTCTTAGGATAGTACTTGTGTTCCCGGCTTGGAGGAATGCACATATTCTATCATTTTGATTAATTTATTTTCACCATATAAACTTCATAATCTGAACTGTTCAATTTATAACGGATGATCCACTCATTCCTTTCAATTTACGGTCGTCAGATCGAATGAATTGAAAAAAATCAAATGACATAAATCAATATGGGGTGTATGAGAGGTAAAAAAAGTTGTAACCTTCATTTGAAAATCATTTCTATATAAATAAAAAAATTGAATCGGAGATTGTTTGATCATTGAAATCTAGTCAATTATTTGACTAGATTTATAAATCTTCTTAGGATAATACTTGTCTCCCCACGACTAACGTCACATAGAAAACCAATTCCCTCATCGAAATCTAGTCACTTATTTGAGTGGGTGCAGCAGCTGCCATGTGGATATTCTAGATAATTACATTAGGATAATGATAGGGAGATCAGATTTCTAAACCAAATTTGCGAACCAAATAATATGTCACCAATAGAGAATAAACACGTTAATCAACACTTAATAACAATTTAATCATCAATAATCACATCGTTTGGTTTACCAAATTTAGTTTAAATTTTTTTCCCCTAGCATTACCCATTACATTAATCATGAAAAGGATAAGTTAATTAAAAAGCAGTAGTGTATTAGACAAATCATAATATCCTTAAACTAGTTCAATTAGCAAGTCAAGCTCATTAGCATTCTTAATCAATAAACGATCGAGAGTTGACCCAGCCGCGTCACTCTTTTTCGCAACCCGGAACGGCGGGCCTCTGCCTTTGATGGCATGTAAAGCCAGTTAACTGCCGCCAAGTCTCGCCCTCTCAAAGCTCCGCCGCTGCGAAGAACATCCTCCGCTTTCTTATCCTCGGCGTACGATGATTTACTAATCTTGGGGAGACGCAGCACCAGATCAAGAGCCGTGAGACCACACTCGTTCACATCATTTAATTCCGTAACTCCACTCCCAACCAAGCATCTCACCACCTCGTGCCGCCGTTCAGTGATGGCAACGTGAAGAACTGAATTCCCCGTTACGTTCTTCATGTTAAGGATCTTCCTCTTCATGTCTACCGTGATCATTGGTGAGTCGACCGTCAGTTCCACCAAAACATGAATCGCTTCGACTCGGTTGTTTTTAGCAGCAAGGTGAAAGGCGGTCTCTCCGCTTAAGGTTACGTCTTCAAGGCTCTCAGGACAAGCGGAGATGATTTCTTTCAGTATTTCAACGCGGCCGCAGATGGCAGCGCAATGGAGAGGAGTCAAGTCACGTTTTCCTCCTCTGAGATGGCAGACTGCCGCTCCGAAGCGGCAAAGATTCTCCTTCACAATGTCCAAGTATCCGTTCGCAGACGCTATGTGCATCGGAGTGAAGCCGCCCTGGTTTCTTAATTCGGCGAAACAGGTCTTGTTAAGGAAGCAAACGTCACGCTGGCCGCCACCGCCATTGGTGTTTCGGCGCGAGAGCAGTAGCATGTTTCCTGCATGAGAAGCCTCGTACAGTGTTTGATCCATTGGTAAATTCTTGCCAAATTATTGTGTACAAAACTGAACGATCTATTAAGTAATGTAAGGGGTGGCTGTAATTTCCTAAATGGTGTCGGATTTTTCATGTCCTATTGCAACTACGAGGAGTCAAATTTTTTTCTTTCCTTTTCCTTCAAGGAGTGGGTGTTTTGGAGTCAGTTTAATTTTGACTCACTGCAACGTAAATTAGTAACCGAGCAAAAGCAAGTACGAGAGATGGGGAAAAAAATAGTAACTTGACTTCCAAGTGATTAATATACGTGCTGTTGATCATCTAAGATGTAGAATGCACCATACAATTTTCTGATTTTATGTTAAATACTTACACATAATAAATAAATAAATAAAATTCTTGGGTATAATTATTCGTCACATGTCATCTGCTCGTGCAAGATAATGAAAATTTTCATTTTGAGTCTCACATGGGTCCATTTTGAATTTTTGATGAACCCGAATGCAAAGCGTTGATCCATTTCTCAAATAAACAAAATCCATATATCCAATTAGTATATTATAAATTAGATGTAATTTTAATTAATCTTTACTTTGTGGTTCACAATGTCCTAAATGGTGTGGGATTTTTACTTGCCTATTACAACTAGGAGGAGTGAATATTTTGAAGTCGGTTAATTTTGACTAACTGACTGACAGCAATATTAATTAGTATCTAAGCACAAACAAGTAAGAGAAGCCAAAAAGCAAGTAACTTGACTGCCAAGTAATTAACCAAACTGCTGTGAGTTAGATTTTGTAATTGAGATAGAGATTGAGAATACACTGTACTAATTGTTTTGTATTTTGGTGAAAACACCCTAAATTCGCGTCTCATACGGATCCATTTTGGTGAACCTGAATACAGAGCGTTCATCTAATTTTAGTGTTCTTATTGATTAACTAGTGATCTAGTAACTGCTCACATGGTTCTCCATGAAAGTAGCAAGGATTAACGTGTAAATCCACATTAATTAGCAGACAAATAAAAGATATATCACCCCTAATGTAATATTATCCCTTAATCTGCTGATTGTGTCTCCACAGCAAGCCTTTATGGATACATAACCAACAATAGCCATAACTAGGCCTGTAAACGGGTCGGGTTTATTGGGTTTGAGTCGGGGTTAACCCGACCCGTTAAGCTAACGGGTCACCCATTTCACCCGTTACTGTTTTTTTTTTTTTTTTTTTTTTTGGGTTTTTTTATGTTTTTTTACACATTTCATTCAATGCAAAAATGCGGCAGAGGATGCAATGCAATTCATGAGCCAACATGAAATGGCAGATTACAATTAAAAGTGCTTTTGCTCGACTAAGTGGTACCAAGCGCATGCCCTCACCTCAAGTTGCTCATGTAGCCATTATAACAGAATGCTATTATAATGGGAAAGTGCTTTTGCTCGATTAATTTAAAAAAGCGCTCTTTAGTGCAGTAAAAAGAGCACAAGTACAAGTTCTACTATAGGTAATGTCTAATGCCCTATTAAAACAGATACATGCTTCAACTTCTTGTAGCCCTTCCTCACCGAGACAATGTACGTGTTGCAATCATTTTCCAACTACACTTCACTCATCACCTATATAATTGCTTGGTTGATCCTCCCAAGCCAAAGTTAGCAGCATTCTAATTAGCTTCCACCTGCAATAATAAAGAACACAACAATAAGGAAAATGGAGAAATGTTGAACGAGAAGAGTCATTTTCCAACTACACGTCACTCATCACCTATATAGCCTTTAACACACTATGCCTTAGCTTAACTGGAGCATTGTCTTTAAAAGAACAAGTTAAAAAACATACCATACTTAATCAAGACTAATACTACTGGAGCATTGTCCCGAGTTTTCATTAAGGCTCATGTCAAAAATTTCTTCAGTAAGTTCTTCCAAGTCAGCACCCTCTTTCTCTAAAGCTAAACATAAAAAGAAAAAGGGAAAAACAATTATAAACTATTATATAAGCAAAAACAAAAAAATACAAAGAAATATGAAATTTACCTTCTTTGCCAAAAAGCCAATCTCTAGTACATAGCAAGGCTTGAACGGTTTCAGGCAACAAAGAACTTCGATATTGATCAAGCACCCTACCACTAATACTAAATGCTGATTCCGAGGCAACAGTTGAGATAGGAATTGTTAACACATCAGAAGCCATACGAGAAAGTACGGGATAACGAAATTGCTCCAGTTTCCACCATGAAAGAATATCCAACTCTTGTTTTCTATCGAGTCTCTTTCCTTCAAGATATAGATGTAATTCAGTTTTTTCAACTGAAGTTGACCCATCTTGATAAATATTATCAAATTCCTACATATAAAAACAAAATAGAAACAAAGATCAACGTACAATATAAAGATGCATATAAAAAGTATAAAAAGAGGAATAACAAATATAAATACTACCTCAAAAAGTTTGTCTCCAACTTTTATTTGAGTAGGAGTTTGATTAACCGGGTTGGATACAAGAAGATGAGAGAACGTGTCCATGTAACAACCAAAGAGTGCAAACAATGTGTCACTAACATCCTTCAACTCTCTCGACTCTTTACCATAAAGCTTGTCATAACCCCACTCTACAAATTGCAATTTATAGCGAGGATCAAGAATCACTGCAATGGCAAGGATCAAACTATACTCTGACCAATACTTTTCAAACTTCAGATTCATATAACTCCCCATCCGTCTCATGAAATCATCACAATCTTCCATGGCATCTTGAATACAATAATGGACTTTGAACACTTTTGGGAAAACAAGTTTGATGTAGGGTAATTTGTTCCGGAAAATAAGCAAGTAACTTCATAAAAATACCCTAAGAAATTGGAAATCTTCTCTATTTTATCCCACTCTTCCAAGGAAGGACATGAACTAAAATTAGAATCAACAAGTGCCAAATTGAGAAAAGCACGACGATAGAAAATGGCAATATCAAGCATTGTATATGTGAATTCCATCTAGTAGGCACATCTTGTCTCAACCCTTTTTTACTACCTGCCAACCCTACTTGTGCAATGCAAGCAAAAAACTTATTTTTTCTCCCTTCTGAACACTTTATATATTTGATGCACTCACGAACTTTCGTCACTGATCCATCAATTTCCTTTAGTCCATCTTGGACTATCAAGTTTAGAATGTGAGCACAGCAACGAACATGGAAGAACTTTCCATCCATTAATAGCAAACCTCTAAAATTTAATTGTTTCTTCAATAACTCAACAGAACAATCATTTGCAGAGGCATTATCCAAAGTAATAGAAAACAATTTGTTTTCAATCCCCCACTCAACTAATAAGGTGTTAATTTTTTCAGACAAAGCAATCCCGGTATGTGGAGGAGGCATGCGACAAAAATTTAAAATTCTTTTGTGCATTTTCCATTCTTTGTCAACAAAGTGAGCTGTGAGTGTGAGATATCCATCAGTTGTAGCAGAAGACCATAGGTCAGATGTCAAACAAATTCTTCCCTCAACTGTATTTAACCAATCTCGAAGTCTTATCTTTTCATCTTCAAACATCTTCAACACATGTTTCTTAACTGTATTTCTACAGGGCAGTTTGATATCAGGAGATATGTATTTAAACAAAGTTCTAATGCCCTCATATTCAACAAACCTAAAAGGCAAATCATGCTTAACTATAGCCTCAATCAATAGCTCACAAAAACTAATATGGTTAAACTGAGGAGAACGCAATCCAACTTGAGATTTTTTCATATCAATGTGATGTTTTTTACTACACGTATCCATATGATTCAATAAATTTTTCGTCCTACAATTACTATCACATACGTAAACTATCCCACAGTTTTTACACTTCGCATGTTGTTTATTATCAGGACCAATAGGCAATTCTTCAAACAAAGTCCAAACACGGGATCTCTTTTGACGTATCTTACCTACTCGCATACCTTTAGCCTTTCTCTTTGAAGGACTTGGTGCACTTATTGTACCTTGCGTATCACTTAGATTGAATGTTGACATTTCCATAGCCTCAGTGTTCTCTTCATCAATATCCATCTGCACTAACCATAAATGAAAAGACGTGAATGGAAGATGCAGAATTTGACTGAACCAATGACAAATTTCACAGCTTCAGAAACAAACCAAATCATAATTCAGACTCAAAATTACATAACAAATCAGAAGTCCTTGAAACATGAGCGAAGTATGAATAGTAAACCAAATGGGAAGTCCCTAGAATTCCTAGATGATGACTTTGAAGCAGACTGGACTAAGTTCCATCTCTTTAGCTCGAACCTCTTGACCCATATGTCTAAACTATCTTTGTCCCTTAAGTCTTTAGTTCCTTCTAAACCATCCCAACTGCTCGTCGGAACACGTCTATCATTTCTGTACAGTCTCTAGCGACACAGAGACTTACCTCTTTTCTTAGCTGAACATCATCGATATTACAAATACATAGTATACAAGGATACAATGGTCTTTACCTTGGAGTCATAGACTTGTTTTACAACTGAACTTCCTTGCAGGAAAAATGTTCAATGTGTAGTAATACTATTGGATATGATATGGATGCATTCATGCTAGTAGAAGCTGGATATTCTACCTTTCATGCCTTATTCAAGGGTATCCAAGCTTTACACAGACTTGAGTGTAGTTCAGTTATTGTCAGTATTAGCTATCGCTTGATTGTTTGACCAAAGTTGCTGAAAAAACTGCTTATCGGTCTTGTGTATGCATGCACATTCAGTTTTTTAATCCATTTGCACATTGCGATTCGTTGGTTGAAGCATGTAATTTATTTCTGGGGACTACACTCTATAATCCATATACTTGCTAAGTTACTGCTATATCTGCAATCCAATACCATGTTTGAACCAAAATCTCCCAAAATTTAGAACTAAAAACATCTTGAAACCAAAATTTAGAACCAAAATCTTTATTTCTGGGGATTACACTCTATAATCCATATGCTGTTAGTAGATTGATCACATTTCAATCTAAACAGGATTCAAACAATGTGAAGGCAAACAAGGCTATAACAGCAAAAGCAGAGAGTTTAATGAAAGAAGATTACCTAAGAAGCTATTTATACGGACACTAACTCTAAATCAATGTTAGACTATTTATACGGACACTAACTCTAAATCTTAAGGAAGCAAAGACGCAATGCAGAAGAAAAACGAAACCTATAGAAACCAACATAGCTTTTATGGACAGATCCCTACACATTATACAGTATACATACAAAAAAACGAAACGAGACACCTAAACTTAACTCTAAAAGGGTTAACAAGAATTAGCGAACTTGTGAGGGGATTACATTGGAACATTCAAGTCTAATGTAGTTTCCCTCTGCTTTCATATGTAATGACGTTACTGCTCAACTACGTATCAAGTATAAATGCCTGACAAATGCCTACACATTATACAGCATACATACAAAAAAACGAAACGAGACACCTAAACTTAACTCTAAAAGGGTTAACAAGAATTAGCGAACTTGTGAGGGGATTAAATTGGAACATTCAAGTCTAATGTAGTTTCCCTCTGCTTTCATATGTAATGACGTTACACAATCAAAATTACAGAGATTGTTGTGGTTCATTAATAACAGAATGCTTTTAGATTCAGAATCTGCTTTCACGTAGTTTCCCTCTGCTTTCATATATAACATTCAAGTCTAATGCTATTATAATTGAATGTAATCATTTCAATCTAGCAAATTGCTAGTAGCAATGATTCTAAATTGTTAAACCTTATGCCTTTCACGGGAACTGGATGAGGAAATAATCTCTGCTCAGGGCATGACATTCCAACAACCCAATTCCAATCCAAAAACCAACCAAAACAAACCAAACTCAATACTTTTAACTTAATGGGGGTGAATTAACAGCTCCAATTTACCCAAAAATGGAAATTTTAATTGGAGAATATACAAATGAACAAATTTTACACAAAACCCATGAACAAAAAGCAAAACCCAATATCCAAAACACAACAAAAAAAAAAAAAAACCCTAAAAAGGGTCGAATCTAATCTGCAGAGTCCACCTAAAATCGAATCTAATCTGAGAAAAAATAGATGAATCTAATATGCAGAATCGAAGCTTACCAGAGAGAGAGTGATGGAGTTCAGTAAGATTTTTGAGGGAAGAAGATGAGGCAGTGAACGGCGTGCGATCTCTCAATCTCAGAGAGCAACGAACGGCGCGCGAGCGAGGTAGCGACGAGCAACTCTCAGTCTCAGAGAGCAACGAACGGCGTGCAAGAGAGGCAGCGACAAGCTACCAGCGAGAGACCTAGTAGGAACCTGAGGGTTTTGAAATCTATTGAAATTACACAAAAATCCTTACTAACGGGTGTTAACGGGTGGTTAATGGGTTTCGCGGTTCACCCAAACTGACCCGTTGTTTAACGGGTGATTAACGGATTGACCCGTTAACCACCCGACCCGTTAACCACCCACCCAAATACTAATTTTAACGGGTTGGGTCGGATCGGGTTAACGGGTTGGGTTAAAAATGACAGGCCTAGCCATAACTATAGCAAGCACACAATCACCACATTCCATCGTCTCACAACCAGAGTTACCACATTCCCTCGACTCACAATCGGAGCAAAGAAGCCTATCGAAATCGCTAGGAAGTGGCAGAAACTAACTGCTATCGGCCATGCCGTGCCAAGAATCATTGCAGTATAATGTATAGACATAGCAGCAGCACCACTTCAGGGACTACTAGAGGTAGAGGAGAGCTCACTTTGTGGTTTGTAGAGAGCTAACGTCAAACGCTTTCATTTTCCGTCAAACGCTTTCATTTTCCATCCATATATTGGAAATGTTGTGCTAGGATAGCACCAAACCCGTTGGAACCAACTCAAGCTAACCCACATGAAATTTACCAAATGAAAATGCAAGAACAAAATATTAAAGACACCAAGATTTTAACGAGGTTCCTCAACAGTCAGTGTAACTGGAGTACGTCCTCGGAGCAGTAGGAGCTCACCCAATAATCCATTATCAACCAAATGGGAGTTTACAAAGTGTTGGCAATCTCACAACCCAAATAACCCAATACACCTAATAGCTCTCACACACCACAGAAACAAATAGAGAAAGAAATATAATGTATAATTTCTTCTCTATACATATAGCTCAAAGCTATTACAACAACAATTATGATGGATGATTGCTAACCAAAAAGAAGAGCACTTTCTTCTTCTCTTCAACAAAAGGTTGCTGCACCCTTTCTATTTTTCTGCAGCTTGCACTCCTTTTCTCTGCAGCTTTCTTCTCTCTTATGCTCTCTGTTTTCTTCTCATAACAACAAAAGCAGCAATTGCTGCTAAATAAAACCATAAGTCACCCCGTGACTTCCCACGTGGACCAAAGAAAAAAAATTTCTCCAACATCATCATTTGTCATCATCACAAAGTAAGGAACAACATCATGATGTCTCCCTTTTTTTTTTCTTTTTTTTTTGTTTAATAGTAAAGGTGATGGCCACAATTCAACAGGAAAATGGATATCGATCTCCATGAAAATAACATGAGACTAAGAACTTACCAACATGGTATGTTTTAATCTACAGAAAAACTAATACAAAATCAATCCTTAAAATATGAAATTCATCGTTACATCATAAACACATCCAGAAAATCATCTATCCATCAATAAATTGAGAATATAACATACAACAAAAAAGTACTTAAGAATCACATATTGAACCGTCAAATATAATCTTCTATAAAATTGTGAACAAAAAAAAAATTCCTTCATTAAAAGTTAAAGTATCTACAAAACAGAAACAGCAGTCTCAGTTTTCACAAGTGTTGCGTTTCTACTTCTTGGTCGTGGATGATTCGATTACTTCCTCGCTGGCACTAGCACCACGACTACTACTACAACCGTTTGTATCTTTTTTCCCCTCCTCATCTTTCTTCATCATCGACGATTCAGCAGCTTCTTGCATATCAGTAGTACTAGAACCACCATTAACATTTTTTTTAAGCTTAACCACTGCCAAGCCCAGAGATTCTTGGTTGCCAAGATCGGGATTGTTAATAAAGAGAAACAAATCTTCTTCTGTAAGATTGTATTTCATTGACTGAATAAACAATTACATGGATGTACATTTATATAGCATTTGGCTCTTTACATTTATACCCTTAGCTTCCTTAACTAAACTTGTACAATCCTAACTAACCACAACTAATAACAAAACTAACCACATTTAGTTTTTCCAAACTATTTATCATTAACAAAAATGGATGATGTATCATCTGTCCTAATAGTTAACACCAAAAAACCTTCTTATTCGTAGAAATTGAGTTCCAACCCTTATTTAAGGCAAAGCTAAAGCTGCTTTTGGTTTGAGTAACCCACTTGGTCAACCCTAAATCGTCATGCACCATTAAGCATGGATCTACCACTCTCACATATATTACTCCGTTGTTCAACCTTTCATCGTCTTGGCCCAGAAAGTTCTTATTGATCACTTGATCACGCGGCATATAGGATCTCACTGCTTTCGGGAGAAGCCAAGAATCAATGGAGTAGATGGCCATACAAGTACTAGAGAAAAGGTCATTGTACATTTGAATACAAGTGATCCTACTAACCTAGCTACATTCTTTTTTCCGTCTCCGAAGATTGCATTACACCACACATTAATATATGCACAGGAGGTTTAGTTGCTGTTAACATGACCTTAAATGAAACTAGCCCGTAATTGAAACATATATACTCTTCAAATGTTAAGAATCACTTACTGTGGAAAAATACATAAGAATAATAACATAAACCATCTAATCTCTTCCATAAAAATATGAACAAAAGTAACCCTCAATGAAGACTAAGGATCGTTTTACACAACAGAAACATAAGTCTTAATTTGTCTAAAAGTTACATTTCTAAACTTGAGGTTTAGGCTGACATGCTTCATGGCTTTAACCGCTGCCTGCAGACTCTTGTTCTTGGCCTTAGATGATTCAATAGCCTCCTCACTGGCGGTACTGCAAATACTATCTTTTTTGCTCTCTTCTTTCTTGATCATCGCCAAGTCAACAGGTTCCGTCGTCTCGGTACCCGTACTAACATTGGCATCTGTTTCCATCTCATCAGTCTTGATCAGTTGCGATACGAAAGCTTCCTGCCTATCAGTACTTGTACTACCATTAACATCTTTCTTGGTAATTGCAGATTCAATTACTTGCTGCCTCTCAATACTAGTACCATCATTGAAGTCTTTTTTCCCATCACCTCTAATCTTAACAAGTGCGAATCCGAGACCTTCTTTTTTGATATCAGGATTGGGATCGATATATCGAAACGACCACACCTGAATTACATCGTTTTCATTAAGCCCAACCTCCTCATCCTTCAAAATTGTTCTCCACCCCCTGCCTAGGACATACGAAAAGCTGCTTTGGGTATGAGTAAACCACTTGGCCAACCATAATTTACGCTCCTTTAAGCCTGAATCTATTACTTTCACTTCCAGCACTCTGCCGTTCTCCAATCTTTTCTCATGTTCGCCGAGAAAGTGCTTATTAACCACTTGATTCCTTGGCATCGAGAGACGGTCGTGACCATAGCTCAAATCAGTCTTGAAAAGTTGCTTCTGGATCATCAATTGCACTTGGAAACCATGCATTGATTCAATCTTTTCCTTGAATTCTTTAGGCAACTCCGGCGGTGGTAGAGGAATTGAAGGAGATGATAGTTTCACGCTCTCCGCTTTCTTGGCCGTCTTCTGCTTCTTCGTCCTCGCTTTCTTTTCATGATCTTCTTCATCACAATCCTTATAATATACGTACTCATCTTGCATGCTTCGGCTGCTGCTACCGAAATTATGCTTCTTGATTTTCTGATTGTTAGAAGCAGAAGCAGCTTTCCGCTTCTTCGATTCTGTGGATTTCTTGCCTTTGTTTTGAAAGAGATCAAGCAAAACTTTCTGTTCGAGCATAGAAAGTTCTTCGTCTCGGTTTTTCGCAACCGCTTTCACCTCCGCCAACATCTTTGTAAATGACTCAACTTGAAGCTTCCGCACATAATCCAACGTAATCTTCGTCGCCATTTCGGTTTCTTGGAACTCAAAAGATCACCACTTCTTAATTGGGATTAGGGTTTGTGAGAGAAGATGGAATGGAGATAGCAGAGACGAATGCTACTTGAATATTTGGGGCGCAAGTAACAGAAGTAGTGTGGTTTAGGGTTTTTAAAAGGAAATAAGACCCCTTCCTTATCGATCAAGGAAGAAGCTCCAACTATTTCCTAAACCTACAAGGACAATATTAATTTTAGTTTGATCCTTAATTCACCTGGATTAATTAATTAAAATAACTTCCTAATCTCCGATAAGGATTCATTTAAAATTTGATAATTGGGATTTTCTACTCTCTTTTCCTAAAACATGTTGGCAATGTCTGTTACCTTTAATTAATAGGAAAACTAATAAAAATGGCTTGAAAACTTTGAGTTTTAACGATAAGGACAAAATTTGAGTTTTAACGATAAGGACAAAATAAAGGGTAAGGTGAATAGTACCAGGATTGACTTTTCAGTGTAAAAATATGATTTTTTATTAAAATGAATAGTACCGGTAGTTTTTCATTAAAGTTCCCTTAATTAATATACGGTTAAGATGCTTGGCGCAACAATTATCCTGGATTTGGTTCTAGTTGGAGCGTGCTGCGGCTTTGCCCAAAACCATGGTGTTCTAGATGCTCCTTTAGTTATTTCTTTTCTTTTTCCTTTTGGTTTTATTTGCAGAGATAGGTGATGGTGGTTCAGATCCAGTGACTCTTCTCCCCTCCTGTGTGACGATTTTGGTGGCGAAATATGGTTGGGCCGGGGATACTTTCTTGTTGTGGGTTGAAAACTTATGTGATATGAAACCTTCGTTGAATTCAACACAGAGTAGGTGTTCTTAGGGCGGCTGCTCTTGTAGCTGCTGACGAAGTGGTTGCGGCGGTGGCGGCATTCTGCTTGATAGGGTGGGTTATGATTTTCCTTTTATATTTTGTCTTATTGTTGAATGTGCTTCTTGTCTATTCCAATTTTTTGTTATGATGATTATGGTAAAATTAACAATTAATTGAGAACTACCACTTAATATTGGATGTAATGAATTAATGATGATCAGACTAAACTATAATTAATAATTAATTAATATCTTTAGATGTAGTAAATTAGTAATGATGATTATGGTAAAATTAAACTAAAGTGAGTAATACCAAATCAACGAGAAATTTTTTCAATATGCCAGGAATACGGTCCAGTGTACCAAGTGTTATAATATAAGTGGTTGAATATTTTTTTTCTCCAAATATCCAACTACTTGTATTATGAAACTTAGTGTACTGACCATGTTCCCGACACACTGTAAAACCTCTCCAGATCAACCACCAAAAACCGCTAATCAAGACAAGTGAGCAAAAAGAAGTACCCCAAAGAGGAAATAACTTGGCTACCAAGCTAGTCATCAATTGGGAATATATATACATGAAGCCTAGCTATCTATTGTTTCAGACAAATCTTAACCCTATCTAGCTAGTAGTAGAAGAGAGAAATTAACCCTTTCAATCAAGGCAGCTAAGCCTCGGATATACATCATGCAATCCGGATCAATTAGGCGGATGCAGATCAAAGCGAATGTGAATATGAAAGGCCTAGTAAATAGGCTCAAAAGTTGTGTTTTTTCGACGAACAATGGCACTGATGACAATGCTAAGCATGTTCATCATGATCAAACCACCTCCGATCACCTTAATGACAGGCGTATTAGGCAGAATCAAGGAGTATGGAACCCTGATTTCGACAAAAGAGCGCTTGTTGATCCGAGGTGGGGATATTGTCAAGGTTTAGGGAGGATACTACTGGATTGGAACAAGATATGAGGGAGTTAGTGGCAGAGCTTGCTCCAACTACTGATATATTTTGCAGTACTAGAAATTGTAAGTCTAGATGAAGCTATAGTTGCAAGTATCAGAGCACTGCCGTACAATGAGCTGCAAGGCAGGTTTATTAGATCCAGCAAGAGAAGAGATGCTTGATGGTTGTCAACGACATTTCGGGCGTTGGAGAAACAGTATGTATTGTACTTGAACAATTAATCAAAAACTGTATAAAGTTCATCAAATATAGATCATAACAGATATAGACTGCTTCCTGTATGAAAAACGGAACATGTTATCCACGTAAAGGGATCGAGAAGAGAAGCCATAGGGTGTATGCACAGGGAGAAGCTTATTGTATTTGTTTAAATAATACAGGGATGAGTATATATAATTGGCAATTAAAAGTGAAAAACTCACCCTGGCTAAACCAAAATCACCAGAAAACTTAGGATTAATTGGAATTAAGGTTCAGTATTATCCATGGAATTGGTATCATGATTTGATGAATCACTTTCAAAGTGTCCTTCCCACTCATTTGACCCAATAAGCATGGAAACAACTTGTCTCATGGTCGGGCGGTCGAAAGGGGACGTACTTGTGCACATCAAAGCAATTTTCAAGACATTAATCATGTGAGAGACAGTACCTTCATCTTGTAAATCTAATCGAGCATCGAGTACTCCTGAAGACAAAGAATGGTGCAGAAAATAGTTTCTTACCCACGTTACCAGGTCACCGCCTTCCTCTATCGACTGTACAGGCGTTCTTCCAGTCAGCAGCTCCAGAAGGACTACTCCGTAGCTGTAGATGTCACATTTTTCTGTGACTTTCAAAGTGTATGCATACTCTGGAATCAAAAGATTATGTATCAGTATCTATAGCATTAATCATCCGTACTATAACAGATAGCGTTCGGGGGTTATATCAATTGATCTTCTGAGCAGTATTGTATTAAGATTAGTTAAAAGATAGCTTACCAGGGGCAATATATCCATAAGAACCTGCAACTGCAGACATAGTCTCAGAGTGTGGCATGTCGATCACTTTTGCCAACCCGAAATCCCCAACACGAGCTTCAAACTTATCATCAAGAAGAATGTTATTGGACTTTATATCACGGTGAAAGATCTTCGGTTTGCAATCATGATGCAAGTAAGAGAGGCCCTGAGCAGCCCCAAGAGCAATCATGAACCTCGTTATCCAATCAAGACTACAAGATGTTCCATGAAGCAATTCTCCCAAGCTGCCTCTTGCCATGTACTCGTAAAGCAGAAGATTGGAACCCTGGTGGTAGCAGAAGCCGTATAGCTTTACAATATTTCGATGCCTGATTTTTCCTAAAGTTAAAATTTCAGCATGGAAACTGTTATCCATTGCTCCCCTCCCTGTTGGATACTACCTTCTTAACAGCAACTATATGACCCCTTGGTAAGACTGCTTTGTACACGGTCCCACAAGCTCCTCTTCCAATTGCATAGCTCTCATCAAAATTTTCAGTCGCTGCAACCAAGTCTTGGAAAGTGAACCCTGCAGCCTTTGGGCAAAAGTACATATCCAGAACCGGCGAAGAGAGTGATTTTTCTTGCAATGAAGCAACTACGCTTGTGGGACGCCTCATGACATATACAAGGATTGCAATCAACATGAGAGAAACACCACCAATAGCTGCTGCAATGATAGCGATGATTTTACCCAAGCGGGGGTTTTTCTTCACCATATCCGGAGTAAAAGAGAGTGAAGATGGTGGTGTTTTGCATTCACCAAGAGGACCGCCACAGAGTTCTTTATTCCCAACAAAGCTGTCAACAGTCGTATTCTGAAAGAGCCGTAACAGAGGAATAGGCCCCGTCAAGGCATTGTACGACAAGTTGCAGCCAAGTAGACTCAAAAGATTCTCGAAAGAACCTGGAATTTCACCGGTCAAATTGTTGTTATTGAGTAGAAGGAATTCCAGTAAGATAAGATTCCCAAGTTGAGGAGGTATCTCGCCAGAGAGGTTGTTAAAACTGAGATTTAACGCAATCTGCAGGCTCGAAAGGGCACCCAACTCAGCTGGGATGCTACCAGAAAATGAGTTGCCACCCATTTGTAACTCAGTCAAACGCACGAGGTTTCCCAGCGCAACTGGTATGTTCCCAGAAAGATTGTTTTCAGAAAGCTTGAGAAGCTCCAATTGAGAAAGTGTTCCTATCTCACTTGGCAATGCATCTGAAAAGTTGTTATTTCTAAGATCAAGCCGTTGAAGTGTTTTACAATTGAAAATTTCGGGCGGTATCCTTCCAGAAAGAGAATTTGATGAGACATTAAAGATCACCAACTGTGGGAGGCTACCAATCTCTCTAGGCAACTCTGATGTGAAGTAGTTGTCCGAAAGGTGCAGCGTTTGCAAAGTTCTGCAGTTACCAATTTCCGGAGGAATGGCGCCGCTGAACTTGTTCTGATTCAACTCCACTGTAGAAAGGTTAACCAGTTTGCACATTTCGGATGGAAAAGTCCCCGTGAGGTTGTTTCCAACTAGACGAAGCTGCACCAATGACTTGCAGCTTGTGATGCCATTTGGTATATTCCCAGCGAGCCTGTTAAACCCCAAATTTAACAATATCATGTTAGAATTTCTGCAGAGATGACGAGGAACTTCCCCTGTTAGGAAGTTTTCGGATAAGTCAACCACCCAAAGCCGGCTATACACTCCAAGGCCTTGAGGGATTACGCCACTCAGCGAATTGTTGAACAATTGCAGCATGATCAGTTCAGTCAAGTACTGGAATCCGGTAGGAATTGAACCTGTTAAAAAATTAATAGAGAGGTCGAGCTTAGTCAGGTTTGTAAGACTTGTGAACTCATCTGGAATAACTCCTGTGAATTGGTTCTGGAAAAGATAAGCAATTGCAATCCCTCTATCTTGCTGAGCTCAACTGGGATCTCTCCTGACAATAAGTTCTCCGAAAAATCAATCTCTGTTGCTAGAGAAAGATTGCCAATCTCTCTTGGAACTGTCCCATTCAACATATTTCTGTAAATATACAACTTCTCCAGATACACAATGTTTCCAAGCTCCTTTGGAATCTCTCCCACAAGCTTGTTCTGATACAGGGCAAGAATTTCCAAATTTGTACAATTGCCAAGCTCCTTTGGAATAACCCCGGAAAGATGGTTACTCCAAAGAATTAATGTTCTCAGTTTCTCAAGCATCCCGAGCTCCTTAGGCATTTCTCCGGTTAACTGATTTTCCGCTAGACCAAGATACTGCAAGCTCGCACATCCACCTATCTCTGCAGGCAAGCTTCCGGATATCAAGTTCTCCCCCGCCCTGAAAGTCGTCAATCTTTTGAGATTTCCAAGAGAGAGCGGCAGAATTCCGCTAAGATTGTTAGAGTACGCAATCAGCTGGGACAGGGATGAAAGATTTCCAATCTCTTCATGGAGAGGCCCTGATAATCTATTGTTGCAGATATTCAGTACTCGTAAACTTGAAAGTCTAGCTATTGCTTTCGGAATTTGACCTATAAACTTATTGTTATTCAAAGCTAGAACCTCCAAACTCGAGCAATTTCCGATGTCTTTAGGTAAAGTCCGAGTCAGTTCATTGAAAGAAAGATTAAGATAGTTCAGGTGAACCAATCCACCAATGCTCGGAGACAAATAACCTGAAAGATTCATGGAGTTCAAGTCAAGAGACACCACCACCGGATTGTATCCGTTGCTGCAATTCACACCTCTCCATCCACAAGGTGTGAAATCATTGGGATTCCAGCTACCAAGATGATCAAACCGATCAACTAATCTGCTCTTTACTTCTAGAAGATATTGACCCTCATCGTTGATCCCCTCGGATTCGAAAACCATAAGGGCAACAACAAGAACAGTTATAGTAATCAACAAACCATATGACATATTCACCATCACCACCAAATGGAATTGAAAACAATAACCCTAAGTTTGCAGGGTTTCAGCACTCACAACATCACTTTCTTAGCAACAATTCCATGATTTTTTCGACGAAAACTATAATTCGAGACGTTAACTCAACAAATATGAAGGGTGATCACAAAAGAAAGGATTCAGGTTTGAGAAGGATACAAGGGTTTTGATAACATGTAGGGAACTAGATAGGGACAATGATTTTACATACCTGGAGTTGATGACCAATAGAGGAAAAAAAAAAAAGGAATCCCATCAAAGAGAAGCAATGAAAACTCAAGAAAGCAGCAAGAAATGCTCTCCACTTTCCCAAGAAAATAAAATTTTCTGGGAAAATTCATTGGATGTGTATGGTTGGAAAGGTTGAACTTGACTTCTCTATTTTTCTTTGAGTAAATAATAAGTAATCAGGTGCAGTGAATTGCCAACTTTCTATCTAAAGATAATCTAAAAGAAGATAAAAAGCCAAGTGTTCATTCGTTTTGTCACCCTACAGAATGATTCAGAAGATCCACTTGTGTGAATGCGGAAGAGAGATAAAGAGAGAAAGAGAGAGAAAGTGAGATGCAGAAATGGCCGACAAAGCATGCATAAGCTTTCTACTCTCTCACTCCTCTTCCATAATATTTTAGTGCTTCACGAAAGCCAACTGAGATTGTTTCAGTTTTGTATTTCTCTGCTGCTATTGTACTATCATAAAATACATGAATTGTTTTTTTTTTTTTTTTTTTTTTTTTTTTACATCGATATTTTTACACTAGAAGAGGGAACTTCGATTAAGCTACACAATGGGCTGCCTAATTAGATAACTAAAGATGCTTTCGATAGCGTTTAACAGGATAATGGCTTTTAAAATTGTTTTAGGAAATGGCTTGTTAGAAATTGTTTTAAAAATAATTGGAAGTTTTTTTGTGAAAATATTTTTGGAGCTAAGCATTAGTAAAAATGCAAGTGCATCTTGCAAAAACACTTGAAGTGTTTCGTGCGAGAATCATCAGTTATGTGCCTTCTAAAAGCACTTTCAATCATTTTCAAAACAATTTTAATTATTTTAAAAACACTTTCAAATGAGTTATAAGTTAGGAAATTGTGCTTCTTTTAATAAACACTTTATCCTTTATTAAAAAATTAATGTGCTTCTACTAAAAGCATTTCCAGAATCAATATATTTGAAAAAAAAACACATACGAGACTCTTGAGTCTTATTAGTAAATGGTTAGTTGCCATGATCTAGTTTTGAGCAAGTCAAACTTGACCTCATCTTCATAGCTTGCTTATTATAATTAGCTCTAATGCTTATGATTGAGAGCATCATATTACTTTGATGAACGCCACCTCATAACATAGCTTGCTAAGTTCCTACCAAAATTTTTAAACTTTTTATTTTGTGTATGTGCTTTTTTATTTTTTTTGACCCAATGCATTAGTTTTTTCCGTACTTTTTTTTTTTAAAAGACTGTATGTATTGTCAATTTTTGTGAAGAGTCCTCCACTTAAGAATTTGATTCAAATATGTCTATGAGTCATGACTGATTATTGATGTGGACAGAGACTCAGAGGGCGTTGGGAGGGAGTGAAATGTACTGTCACACAAGGCCTTAAATTTGAAGGGGTCCTCAAAATTTTTGCCATTTAATGTTATGTAATAATGTTATATATTTAGAATTTTGTTTTTGTTAGTACTTTAAAATCTTATTATGCATTCCTTATCAGAGTAAAATTTTTCATTTTTAAATATAAAAGGGCAATGTTAGGAAGACTAAATTTGTGAACTTAATGATGAGTCACTAATAGGAAATGATCACGTTCATCAATGCTTAAGTTATAATACAATCATCAACTGTGTGACAAATGTATCAATTCATTCGTACAAATTCTCATTCTTACCTAGTACGAGGCCTTTTAGGAGCTCACTGGCTTCGAGTTTCGTAGGAACTCCGAATTTAAGCGAGAAGGAAGCCAGAGCATTCCTAGGATGGGTGACCCATTGGGAAGTTGCTCGTGAGTTCTCAAAAATAAAATCGTGAGGGAATAGTAAGCCCAAAGCGGATAATATCGTGCTACGATGGTGGAGTGGGCCGGGGAAGTGGTCCCTCCCGGGCGGGGATGTGACAAATGGTATTAGAGGCAATCCCTGGCTGGAAGTGTGCCGACGAGGACGTCGGGCCCCTAAGGGGGGTGGATTGTGACATCCCACATCGCCGAGGGGAGTGATCCTTAAATGTATATTCGCATCCTTACCTAGCACGAGGCATTTTGAGAGCTCACTGGCTTCGAGTTCCGTAGGAACTCCGAAGTTAAGCGAGAAGGAAACCAGAGCATTCCCAGGATGGGTGACCCACTGGGAAGTTGCTCGTGAGTTCCCAAAAACAAAACCGTGAGGGAATGGTAAGCCCAAAGCGGACAATATCGTGCTACGGTGGTGGAGCGGGCTCGGGAAGTGGTCCCTCCCGGGCCGGGATGTGACAATTAGCATCACTTAATATAAAATTTTCTAGTGCAATGATATTTTCTGATTGTCAATAATAACACCCTAAAAAATGATAGTTTTCCAATTTTATTATATAATAAGGTTATCATTCAAGTGAACTTTAAAGTTAGAGTTTTGAAGGTTTTTTTTTTTTTTTTTTTCATGTTTAGTTGTTTTAGATTGAACTGTTTTTTTATTATCTAGTGAATGTTATGTTTGTAGTTTTTTTACTTATAATTAATGGCATTTGTAAACTTGTAATCGGTGAGTGCTAAAGTTTATTTTGATTTAAGAGATTATTTTCTAACATCAATACATCGTCTAATTTAATGATAAGTGATGATTTAGACAACCCTGAAATTTCAGAGACGACTTCGTTATTGAATTATGACGCTATGTAACGGTGGACCTATTTATGAAATTGCTCTCTCTTCTATATTAAAGTTTGAATTCACCTATTTGTAATTTTTAGTTTAGGTTAAAAATTATCTTTCTTAAAATAATAACAATAACATGGATGGACCGATACATATATGTATATCTAGGGTTGACTCCTCAAAAAAGTAAAGAATAAAATGAGTGTGAAGGAGGAAGAATATAAACACGATGTGACGATAATTATTCTCAAATTTAATAAATAAGTTTATTTAACTATTAATCTTCTTAACCTTTTTTTCACAAATAAAAAAAGGACTAATTGGTGGATTGATCACAGAAGTCCAACCTTCTGGATGCCAAAAAGGCTCGCACAAACTTTCAATCTTCTTCTGATCACTATTGTATGATTCACCAATGCTAAAAAATTCTTCTTTAACTTTAACTTAGCTAAAAATAAAAAATAAAAAAAAAACATGAAGACATTGTAGCTACACATCAAGGAACGAAAAAGAATGGTTGAGATTTTTCAACAGTCCACTTGTAAAAAAAAATGTTTAAGAAAAAATTTTCATAACGTAAAAATATTATTCTTACTATTTAATTGTACTATTTTTCTAATAAAGATGAAACTTATATGCGTTGACGACCTTACCTTTAATAAAAATATAGTACAAGTAATAGAACAACAGTACAACATAGCACTTCTCCATGTAACGGCTTTAACAGTGATGTCTATCTTTACCTAACATTAGGTATTTACTTTTAAGCCTATCCAAGTTATATTTGGGTTTGGCTTGGCTGGATCACCGACTTTTCTTTTTAATTATTTTGGTTTATTTTATTAAGGACTAGTATATGGGCACACATAAAGTGTATGAGAACTTTTGTTTTTTGTTTTTTTATTTTTGAAATAAAAGGAGAGAGGAAGAGACTGATAGAGAATGTGGGAGTGAGAAGTTTTTTTTTTTTTTAATTTTTTTTTTTTACATAATTTGCATGTGGGTTAGAGGCAGGCGAGCGGGAGAAGGGGATGAAGGAGGTGGGGTGCCTAGAGCGGTTGAAGATGATTATATATATGTTAGGATTACATATAGGTGAGGTTTTTAAGAAAAAAAACAGCAAAATTTAGTTGTGTGAAATTACATTTATGTCCCATATTTTTTATTCATGTTCTATTTTAATTAGAATGTTAAACTGATAATTTCATAAGATTTGATTGATAATGAATATTTTATTAATTAATAGAGATTCGCAGGCAATAAATTAAAAAGGTGGCAAAATTTTGAAAATAAACCGTCACATTTGACCGTTTATATGAGTTGGACATAGTAGCTGACGATATATATACGTCATTGCTGACGATCACCCTTCACACTGTCCCACGTTACTGTTGAAATTATTTTGTATGGAAATTGCCGCATATGGTGCGCAAGAATTTATCAGGTATGAATACCCTCAGCTTCCAACTGTTACATTTTTTGAGGGTCGCGTGATGGTAGAGTCTGTTAGGGATCATCATTTGGTCTACAGCCCCAAGAGGGGCGGCCCGAACCCGTCGGACGGGGTTTGGGTCTGTCATTTTTTCAAAGTACTCTGCTATTTTTTTTAACAATACGATATTCTTAACTATTATAATCTATTATAATAGACTAAGATTCTCTACCCTCTTAATCTCTCTATTCTTTCATCTCTTTCTATTTGAATGGTCACGGTTAAACCACATCAACATTTTATATTGATTTTTTTTATAAAGATAATAAGATAAAAAGTAATGTGTGAGAGGAGGGGATGTGAATAGGGGGTAGAGAATCCTCCTCCCTATTAGAATAGAGATTCGAACTTGGAACTTGGGAGCAAGGCACTCGACATGGATACACCATCCAAAGGGTGCCTCATACAAACCAGAGAATATGATTTTATGCGATTAAAGAATGTTTTATTAATTGGTATTGTTTACTTGCCTCCAATTTAAAAAAAAAACGTTTTTTTTTAGAAACATGTGTTGAGCTGTTTCTACTTTTTGCTGTTTTGAACCCATGATTTTGAAAAACAGCGTTTTTTTTTTTTTTTTCATTTACCAAACACAAGTGGGGCCCCAACTTTTGTAAGAAGCTGCTTTTAAAAACATTTAAACAAGGGCAAAATTTAGTTCTAGTTACACAGCAAGGGAGAACTGTTGACAAATTTTAACCCTTGCATTGCAACTACCGTTGACAGTGCTATCAGGTTGTCCGCTTAGCAGAAATCACCCTGTCCAATGTCTCGTCTGGGACTGTGATTCCGGTCGTCTCCATGTCTGCAACAATTGCAACGGCTGCATCTAGCTCCCCGAGATCAAGACACAGCGAGATGATTTCATCGTAAAGAGGACTGCCATGGAAGAGAAGAAAACATGATGTAAACACGAAACCTCGAATACATGAGATCAAATCAGCTTTGACAAAGCTACCATTTGTGCGGATGGATGTGCACTCAAATTACGACACATGGTCTTACCTGCCGAATACATAACCAAGACTATGCGTCGTCTGTAAGATCTTCAAGAAAGCTGACGGCAAAGGAGCCCTTACCGCTGCACGCAAAATCATGGCACAATCACCAATGGTGGGTGTTCCACCCAATTCCATCACCTGAAATGAAATGCAGTACCTATTTCAGATAGCAGAAGGAAATAACCGCCTGTTTATGCTTTTGCTTAAGTTATAAGTGTTATGAGGGGATCAAGTGACAGTTAATGAGAACGTTGGGAGAAAACGAAAAACAGAATTGCAGGTGAAGAGTGGAGTATGAATATAAGAACTTGCCTTCATCATAATTTTAATCGCCAGCTCAACTTCCCATTCCTGTGACCATCTTCTAGGAGCTCTGTTCTTCAATTCTTTTTCCCACGTCCAACCCCAAGCATCAGCTAGCGTGTACATGTCAGATTCGTCAAAAACTTTCCTTTTCCTCAGCTCCTTAAATGCCTCGAATATGTCCTCAGGAAACCAGTCATCGTCATTATCATCCTGCATCCGTACACAAAACGTGTTTAGATATATCTTTAGATTACCTTTCTAAGGTAGAACTTTGAGCCCTAAAATTAAATTATGGTGCACTCGTCAGATATTTTATACTTGCATACACGTCCATAAGCAATGTGCATCGTATGTATATTACGTGAGGGCTGACTAAAACTGATATTGTAAATGCAAAATGAAGTGATAGTCCAGAACAGTCATTAAACTTTCCATTTTCGTATCAAAAACGAAAAGGAAATTCAAAGATTTAGAAAAATTAAGTTGATGAGTTGCCCATATCCTTCATATCCCAATGAAAAAAATTATGTGAAACACGAGTAAAACTACAATGTCGTACCTCAGCTGACATTCGAGATCTTCTCCTTGCTTTTTTAGATGTCGTACTTGTTTGGTCAGAATCTTTCAATAACTGCACTCCAATCATTTGAAGAGGTTTCTTGGCTTCAATTTCTTTTTCCTTAACTCTTTCTACATCCTGTCTCTCAGCTTGTTCTACCTCTACCTCTGCCTCTACCTCCTCTTCTTCCTCCTCCTCCTCATCGTCGTCATCATCATCATCATCCTCATTATCATCGTCTTCGTCATCATCATCGTCAGCTTCGTCATTCTCCACATCTTTTGCAACATCATCAACAGTGGCACTATCCGAAACATCTAGAGCCTTTTCTTGATCAGTACCCAAGCCTTCTCCCATGAAACGGCGCTTCCAGAACTCTGTATTTCCTTCTTCTAGCTTGATACGTGAGATTAGTTCATCAAGCTCTTCATCAACCTGTAAGATGATGAAACACATTCAGATTTGATCAGTATAGAGTGAAGTTTCAAGTGCAGCCAAAATGGGGAAGCATTGCTTTCAAAGTATGCAACCCCCCAACTTAAGAAGCAAGAAGAATAAAAAATTAGATAGACCTCTTCTTCTTCCTCCTCCACAGGAGGAACCCAGAGGGGTCGACCACGAGAGCGGTTTATTCTCCTTGCTTTTTGGACACGCTGGTAGAGAACATTTCTGGTACCATCAGTTGGCAGACCTTGTGCTTCTAGTTCTTCTTTCAATTCAGATACAACCATCTTACTAGCAGCCTTGGGCTTTAAAACATTCGTGTCAGGGCCCTTTATAATTTTCCTTAACCTCATCTCAACTCTAACATAATCTGACTCAGAGGCGTCATCTCCTAAAGCTGCAACTCCTTCATTTCGTAGCGTTCTCAAAAGCTTTCTGTGGTGTATCTTCCACTCCTCAAGACATCTTTGCTTGAATGAGGTTTCAATAGGGTTTGAATATATAAACCCATCAACATCAGGATCTAGTGGAGTTTTCCCTCTTCGAGGCACCCATCGCTTGCGCTCACCGGTAAGCCCACCCTCTGCAATGTACCTGATACAACAATTTAACATCATGTGATGTGTTTGTTAACTTGATATACATGCTCAAGAATTTAAGCTTTGGGAGTCCGGTATAAGTCAAGCTTGGTTGTAGCTCCCGATTCTCGTATAAAAAGGGGGCCGTATCCATCTTTATTGTTTATTTATGCGTTAACTTGTAAAGTGCAAAACTAAATTAATCTTGCACATAACAACCATTGTAACTATTAACACATATGGAGCCACCAACCTGGCCATGTAATCTATCTCATGTCCAAGTTCAGCTTCCTCTTGCAAAGGTTCAATCCATGAGCTCACCAGTGTCCGGTACTTTCTACTCAAAATCATAGCTCGTGGTGGAATTGTTTGGTCGTCCGCGGCCATGGCTTCTAAAGCTTCTAGCAACTCGACCATTCTTCCTGAAGACAAACAGAATCATCAATCAAGGCAATAAGTTATATTCAATACTAATAATGAAAGATCCATACAGTGTTCCAAAAAATTACAAAATGTTGATAGAACCTAACAGGTGGACCAAGACGTCAATGCCAACATGCTACAATATATGATAGGTTACTGACACCGCAAGTCAAGAGAGTGAATCTCAGAAAAGCTTCATTATTTATTTGTTTGCCTAAATTTCAGAAAATATAGAATCCAATATTCGGAGTAAAAGCTTCAGCTTTCATAATTCTTGTACTTCCGCAATTCCTTAACGTCACATGAACCATAAAGAAATTGATTGCTTCTGTTAATATATTGCCCTTAACTTGTTTGATATACAAACGAAAGAGCTGAAAAGAAACTATTACCATGAAAATTTTGGTCATTGACCAAGTGCAGGCTACGTACAATACAGTGATAAATGGTTGCAGTGACTTATATCTCTAAGTATTAGGTACACAGAGCGAGAAGAAATGAGATTACTCTTGTTCAGAATACAAAATGAAAAATAGGTATACCTTCTCGACATAAAGCTCGAAGATACAAAGACAGGGGGTCCCCAAAGTTTCCTTCATTATGTAAAGCTTTTGTTCCTCCTTCAAATCTTATGAGGGCACGAAAATGCCGTATTGCCTCTCGAACTACACAATACTTTGTAAAGCACTCAACTAACAACCTGAACATCAAGGTACAAAAATACATTTCGAAAGAAAAGAAAGCGAAAATGATAGAAGTAAGATTCAATGTAAACATAAGATGCTGGTTTAATCTGACCATCAAGGCATAACAATATACTTCAAAAAGAAAATGCTTACGCATGGGTTTTCATATTAGGCTGCAAACGCTTGTGGTCTTCAACCATCATGCCAAGTAACTCAGCAACATCTTGTACTCTACATATCATATTAAAACCCCAAGGTAATGATGAATACCATTGTAAAGAACATATTGAATTAAAACCTTGAGCTCCAAAGTTGTCAAAATTCCATAAAATTATATAAAAGTATTATAAAAACATAGAATTGATTTTAAAAGTAAAAATTAAATCTCTCAAATAATGCACTTCGCATAGAGAACTATATGCTATGAATCAGCACATTGACATCTAAGCACTAATAAATAGTAAAGAGGGCCGAGCTCGTTCTTATACTTATCATATTCATATTCATCATATCTAAAGTTTTTTTACGTTCACTACATAAGCTAGGCAAAAAATATTCATAATTCTTAAAGAAATGTAGCAGGAATTATTATGGCTACAGACGCTACCTGTCATAAGATTCAGCTCTGGTATATGCTTGGATCACCCAATTATATGTCTCTGTATCAGGTTTCATGTGTTCTGTTTTGTAAAGAAAACTATAAGATTAAACCCTGAAAAACCGAAAAAACAAAGGCTTCCGAGAAGTATTAAACTTGAACAAACAATTATAACTCTGCGTCCAGAAAAGTACAACTCAATTTCACAATCCACAAATATATTAAACCACATGTTACGCTGAAACCAGAAATACTAAAAGACATTTAGCTGAAGTGATCACTGATTCGAGAAAGGCCATAAGGTATTACCAAAATCAAAAGCAAGATTCATAAATCACAAACAAGAGATTTCAAACCATAAAGAAACGAACCATCTCCATACTCCATGTTCTCAAACGTAGCAAATGCTATTTCAGGAATTCCGCAAGTAGCCTATATACATTCAAAAGGAAAAAAATTACATGAATAAGACTGGAAAAGGAACTATAATTATAAACAACTAGGTCATAAGATGCTCGCAGTAATTCACTAGCAAATGTGGACACTTTAATCAACTGCTATCCCTATTGTAATTTCAAATCTTGCCTGGAACTGTATAACGTAGAAATACAACATCGAAGATAACACAATCCAGAAAAAAAAGAGTCACCTGCACACTAAGAAGACAATTGAAATGAAAGGTTGTTGCCATCCGCCCTGCAGCCTCCATTTCATAGGCAATATCCAATGCATTAGAATGATCCCCAGCTTTACAATCCTCCACAATAAGAAGATCGTAGACCTCATCAGTTGCTCTGAGCCCACCTTTGGCACCCTTCAAGAACACTTTGTTGGCATCTTCTAAATGGCGGGTCCGAACGAGCTCCTCTGTTCACATACACAGATAAGAAATCTCCACATTTTAAGGAACAGATATTAAGGGCCTCTTTGGGACTGCTTCTGGTCATAAGCGCTTCTGCTAGAAGTGATTTTATGATAAAAGTGTAGAAATTCTTATTAAAAATTTACGTGCTTTGTGGAAAACACTTGGAAGTGCTTTTGAAGAAGTACTTTCTAAACCACAAGCTTCCTCAGAAAGTGCTTCTACGACCCAAAAGTTTTCTAACCAAACGTATTCAGAGACTCAAAAGCGTTTTTAATTATCACAAAGCACTTTTATCCCTTCCAGAAGCAATCCCAACCCCTAAATAATGTGCAATTCATTAGTTTACCAACAAGAAGAAGCCAAGCTTGGCGAATGTCGTATTGCAATTTCTCCATGGCAGCAAGAATTTCTAATCCCCTTATAGCTCGACCTTTTGATCCAAACAGCCGAATCAGCGCAATGAACGTTTCATGGAGAGGCCGAAGCCCCGTACTCAATTCCCTTCTCAGTGATTGCATCTAAAATTCACATCAAGCGACAATGGAAACAACATTATCTCAACAAAGTAATGGAAATTAAAATTGAAAAATCAAATTTTGAAGAACAAGTAATGTACATACCGCCCCCTCGGCGTCTCCGTTGAGAGCGTGAGCTACGATCAAGCCGTGGAAGGAGCGAGGGCCGGGGGCGAGGCCGGCGGCGACCATGTCGTAAATGACATCAGAGACTCCATCGGCGTCGCGATTGCGAGCCCGGACCATGAGCTCCTCCATGAAAGCGAAGCGGAGGTTCTTCTCGGCGGCGGAGGAGGAAGGGGAAGGAGAAGAGGAGTCGTCGTCGCCCTTGGTCTGCCTCCGCTTCCTTCTAACTCTCTTCTCGGGGGCGGAGACCGCCGAGGCGCGTACGACGAGGGAAACGGCGTCGTTGGGGCATTTGAAGTTGCGGGAGAAGGCGGGGAAGGAAGTGACGGAGGAGGGGAGGAGGAAGGCGGACATTTGGAGGGCATACGGCAGTGGATAAGGTGTAAAGGCGGGTGCTTTTGTTTCTGACACTGAGTGAGGGACTGACGAGCGGCTGAGCGGGAGGGGTTTAACTGTTTTTTTTATTTCCTTTTTTCTCAGGGGTTTAACTGTTTTCTACTTTTTTGTCCTTCGAATTTTTTTTTCTATTTTTTTATCAGCTCTTTTTATTTTATTTTTATTGCTGAAGTTTTTTATTCTAGACTTTAGTTAACGATACGGGAATTCGAATGAAATGGGTACACTAATTACGAACGGGTGATTTAGTAGTAAACGATGAATTGCGAGACTTTCTTCAAACTAAAAATTAGAGATTTCGGGTTCAAAACTTGTTGATGGTCTGGAAGCCAGACTTGTGGCCAGAAAGAGGTGAGTCTTTACGGTCCCCAAAATGAGTGGATAATCGTGGTTTGCCATCAATTATCCCCCTTTAAAAAAAAAGAAAAAAGAAAAAAAGAGAGATGGGTACACTATCTTCACCAATTGAATTAATTTTGTGTGGAAGGTAAAAAGAAGTTTGTGGATAGCATTATAATTTGACATCCTTTCTATTTTTTAGATCAATTTAATTATATCAATTTAGCAAAGATAATCATATATTATTATTATTATTATTATTATTAAGAAGGATAAGATGAGGGTTCGAAATTTTACAATAATTTAGGAGAGGGCGAATTTTGAACCCAAATTATTAGACCACATTCAAGTGAAGACAAACACTTGTTCAAACAACAAAAATCATTTGAATTTGTTTGATATATTTTCTAATCTTCTATGTTCTAAATCTTTATGTCCCAAACCCAAGTTAACTGTTCTAAAATAAGGAATAGAGATTATAACTCAAATGCATGCAACATGCAAAAGAAAGGCACATTATTTTAATTAATTGAGTGGATAACCGTGGTTTGCCATTAATTGTCCCCTTTAAAAAAAAAGAAAAAAAGAAAGAGATGGGTACACTATCTTCACCAATTGACTTAATTTACAATTACGAATCTAAATAAGGTCTACGAATTGTGTTATTATATGTCGAACATTTATAATATGTGGTGCTATCATACACTTATTCTTACCTTTCACACCACTTCTGTTGACCCTGTTATTTAATCATCTTCCATTTATTCGATTCGAAAGTCAAAAATTAAGAAAGTGTGTGGAAGGTAAAAAGAAGTTGTGGATAGCATTATAATTTGACATCCTTTCTATTTCTTAGATCAATTTAATTATATCAATTTAGCAAAGATAATCATATATTATTATTATTATTATTAAGAAGGATAAGATGAGGGTTCGAAATTTTACAATAATTTAGGAGAGGGTGAATTTTGAACCCAAATTATTAGACCACATTCAAGTGGAGACAAACACTTGTTCAAACAACAAAAATCATTTGAATTTGTTTGATATATTTTCTAATCTTCTATGTTCTAAATCTTTATGTCCCAAACCCAAGTTAACTGTTCTAAAATAAGGAAGAGAGATTATAACTCAAATGCATGCAACATGCAAAAGAAAGGCACATTATTTTAATTAATTGACATAACTCAGATTTGCTTATTTTAAATCTTTTCATTTTGCGGTATTACATTCATTTCTACCAAAATTTATGACTGGATTGGGTTTGATGGAAGCAAAATTCCTTCATTGGTCTTACAATTTGATCCTAACGAATCGGATTAAAATGTAAAATGTACAAATTAACGATTCTAAATTGAACTTCTTGTATGTAGGGCACCATCTGAATTATTACGAAATATTGAAATTGAGACATTTGACCAAAGAGAACAAAGCAACCTGAATTATTGTAAGTATAATTATTAAACTAAACAATGACTTAAATTGTCCAAAGAAAATTAGAAAAACATATTAATTCTTTCAGGTCAGGTGGTGGAGTCCAAGGCCAGGATAGTACTGAGGTTCATGGGGCTCATATAGTCAGTTGAGCCTGTGGTGATCATCTCTGCATACATTCTATTAGCCTTTTCAGATGGATGAAAGGCATCCCAAAACGCATACAGGTTTCTGTTTGGGCACAAATTGGACAGAAATGTGCAGAGACCTTGTCCATTGTAGGGTCCTTGCCCACAACATGCTACCTTCGATGTGGTAAAGCCTGCGGTGATCACACAACCATGCGTTATAATATGAGTGAATGACAGAATTAATATGCCTCGAATGTAAGGAGGCTTGTAGTTATAAATAGATATATGTGTAATAATATGACTAGGTTAGTATCAGTCTCTACTGTTGCTTTTTATTAAGCACTTGTTTGAGCTTGCTTTTTTCATTTGAGATTGCTTATGTAGAAATTCATTTATGCGCAAAAGTTCTTTTGCTAGAAGTGCTTTATCAGAAGCATGTTGATATTTTTTTTAAAATCCTAGTGTTGCCTAAAAAAGAACTTCAAAAGTGCTTCCTCTGGCACATGCTTCATAAAGAAGCACCTGACATGTGTTTCTCCATGAGCATTTTCAACTTTTGTAGTCAGACGTGCTTTTAGTTATCATAAGGTACTTCTAGTCATTTCAAAAGCAGTCAATATATCATAATTTAAAGACGAAAACCAATTAAATTCATGAATTAGTACCAAATGCTTGGGGGTTATTGATGAAATCTGCATGCATTTGCCTAGTGTTGGCAGATATGAATACATCTTTGCCAAGTTTCTTGTTGAGTCCGGCCAACATTTGAGTGAGTTGTGGGTTGTACAGGGCAGCAGCTCGTAGAAGTTCAGCCGAGCATCCTCCATTCGTGCTTCTAGCCGCCAACTCTGCCGGAGCACATCCCATCGGTCCTGTACCAGTAACTAGAACTCTACGTGCTCCGAGTTGATATAAATTCTGCCAAGTTAACTAATTAAACTTCTCTTATATTGAGTAATTTTTCTGTGTGATTGTCACTAGTCATGTGGTGTTACGTCAATGCATCCGTATATTATAATACAAGCATTAATAAGATTATGTGACAGTATAACAGTCACACAAACAAATTTATCGTGTATTGGTGCAATGATTAATATTAATTACCATGAGAATTTTTCGGTACTCAGAGATGAGAAGCTTGACGTAAGTAGGGAGGGGGAGGTTGCGAGATTGAGAAATGGAAGAGGCTGAGTAGTAGTTGTTGACGAAATCGTTGCCGCCGACGGTGATGAGGACAAGTGATTGGCTTATGAGTCTTCTGGTCTGCTGCTTTCCGACCAGGGCTTGCACTCTTTGCTGGTATTCTTTGAAGTAGTTCAGTTGCCTAAACATTCTGAGTATATCTAGCTGCATGGGCAGTGCAGAGCAATCAAATTATCTCAATAAGCTTATCATTTTTGAGTAATTATTTTGCGGTACTGTAATAGGGCTACATGACATAACTAGTTCATGTGTTATAGTACGAGTTAATACTACTATTAGTGTGTAGTGACTTACAAACTGAGCGCCAGTTTCATTGAGAATTCCAACTCCCGCGGAAGCGAAGTTTGCACCAACAAGTAGCCTTCGTCCGTTAAGCTGTGGACTCAAGTATGGCATTGGGGGTTCTCTTGAGCCAATTTTCTGACCTTAATTATCATGATCATGTTAACTAATTAGCTGTTAATTTAAAAATAATAGATGAATTAAGTGATCACGTTAACATGGTACGTACACATAAATTAATTGAGGCCAAATTAAGCATATATATCTGCATGCATGCAGAGTTAATAACTGTATATACTTAACTGATAAGGTCCGGGATGATGAGGCCATTAGAGAAACGGCCGGTGGGACGGTGAGTTGGAAAATCGATTCCATAAGGGTAAGAGTCGGCTCGAGCAATCGATATCAGATAGTTGTTGTTGCCATTGTCGACCAGTGAATCGCCAAAAACAAAGAATGCTCGACTACCCTCTGCTACTTGAACCATTTGAGGACCAATACTGTAATTACTAACAATAACAATCAAGTAAATCATCAGTCGGCATGTAAAAATCATCGACGATGAAGAGGCTGCAGCCATTGATACGCTTAACTCTGTGGTTTGGTCAGGATCGATATATATTGCAGTGTAAAGATTGGGTTGGTTGGAAGTAATGAATTGACAGCTGAGAATTCATATAAAGCAAACTATGTAGGGCACGCGTAGTACGTGCATGGAGTTAATATTGTTAGCAAGGTTTGTATTAACCCTTGAGCGTCTTTGTAGTGGTTAGGTTTAAGGGGGAGGTACGTGGTGACGTCGAGGAGGGGAAATAAGTATCTTGTCACACCATTTCTCACGTAATGAGGGATGTAGAGAGAAACTAATTAAGGAGTTTAGAGAGGCGTATTACATGAAAGACATCATCATCAATATCGAAGTTTATCCTCTGTGAAGGAGGTGCCGTGACGTCGAAGAAATTGAGAATAGTACTGTAGGTCGATCGATATCGTTCTTCCAACCTAGAAGAGAAATGTAGGCACAAACATTAGAAATATACTCTAGTCTTTATAAATCACTTGATAGTTCTGCTTAAAAGATGGTCCGTGAAATTGACCCTCACCATCAAGATGGTCCATAAAATTGAAAATCAATCAATGTATTCCCTGAAAATAGATGTCGCAAATCAATGTGGTTCTTTCGTCACAATTTTGTTAAAAATTCTGTTAAGTGCTGATATGGCATATAAATGGGCCCTATGAGTTATTTTTCTCACAAATGGCCTTTGAAATTAATGACTCGCGACATCAAAATGGTCCCGGAAATTGACTTGCGACATCAAAATAGTCTCTGAAATTAAAGATTGATCCATGTAGTTCCACAACTAAAGTCTCAAATCAATGTAGTAATTCTGTCACAATTCTGTCAAAAATTCTGTTATATGTTGATGTGACACATAAATGGGTCACACAAGTCTAATTAAATTTAAAAAATTATAAATAGGCTTAATAGTTTAATAGTTAATAAAAAAAATTGTCAACCCAAAAACTCAGTCCTACAATCACCTCCGATCACAGTCCACATTTCTCTACCTCCTTCGCTCTCTAGTCTCTAAAAAAAAATCTCAATACACCCATCTTTATACATTCGACACCCTTCACCGAATTGAACTTGGATCGAGATCACTTT